GGGCAGCCCCTTCCAGTGCCTGACAGCCCTTTCGGGGAAGAAATTTTTCCTAACGTCCAACCTAAACCTGCCTTGGCACAACTTCAGACCATTTCCCCTCGTCCTATTGCCCGTTACCAGGGAGAAGAGCATCCGTTCATGCGGCAATGCCATGCTGATTCCGAGGTCGGATGACTCAGCCCAATCTAATCCATCTTCTTCAGGCTTGCCTGTCAGGTGCGATACCCCAGATCCCTGTTACCCAAGATAAAGGAGACTTAACTGTATTTGGGTAGTCTAAACACAATTTCAGCTGCATTTGACCCAGAAACAGCAAGTAATGCCCAACAAAACACAGACCAGTGTGTCTGCCTTCTAAAACACAAGCATAAACCTCATCAACAGGGCCTACCTGTTTTAAGTGTAGAAGTCACATTGCTGATGATTAGACCCTAAGGGTAGGGTTTGCGTTCTGTATTCAACTCAATTCTTTAGCCAGTACACAGGGCTGGAAAGAAAGCGCTGAAAAACATACCTCAGCAGACTTTCTGACCTGGAGTTTCTGTGGACCTCTTTGGCCACGCACTGGCACAGATAACAAAGCCAGCTTTTGGACCCACACTGCCAGCATTCACCCAAACTGCAAACAGCACTAAATAACTTACCTTTCAAAGGCACATCGAATGACAACCAAGGTTAAAGCAAAAGGGATACTGAGCAGGAGATCACGAGGCTGAGGGTACTGGATGTCTTCAGTCTCTTGCATGTCCTCCCAGGTGATTCCTGGGGGCAGCCAGAACTCATGCTGCCACAGCCACTCGTTCAGCGAGCGTGCCATCCTGGAAGGAAGAGAGACCAGAATAAACTGAGGACAGCTTCACACACAGCAAACCTGTCAGCACAAGCCAGCGAGGCAGAAGAAGGATTACACCCTCGCTGAGGTTGCATCTGGCTGTGAAAGCAGAAGAGGTGTGGAACGCATCAGTGCCCAAGGAACTGATAACCCGCTCGCAGATTTTTATCGGGTGCTCGGTGATTGCCGACTCCTGGCGCAGAACCAGGAAAAGGGCTAAAGTGGAGGTAAAGTGCCTCAGAATTCAACAGAGCATTAAGTGTCATTCTCAGCAAGATGTACAGGAAAGTTTTAAGTTCAATCCTGCAGCTTCTCAGGTTCATAGGTTCCTTTCTACAGGACTGACAGCTTGGTATCATGAAGATGCAGCAAGTCTGCCCCAGGGCTGGCTGCCAGCTGTCCTTTTATATGTACATATCCTTATTTTTTTTAGTCTTTGATCTTCTGCATTTGCTTCTATTTACACATTGCAATGCCACTGTGTGCATGTGTGCGTACGTCTGCATTATAATTAATACTATACTGAGACTTCACCTTAAAAAAAAAAAACAACCTGAAAAAGATCTATCTTCTGCTTTAAATGATTAAGTACTTCCAGGTCAGAATTTTTGTGCTAAATGGTGAGCTGGATTCTTCATGTAATTTTAAAGACCATGTCTGAAGGTGGGATTTACATACATGATCAGAGAATTCAGCAGCATAAAAGACGGGGGAATGGGTGTAACAAAGCATTCGACATGGAAATACTGTTGCTGGATAATTCTGCCTCATACACTAAGATGAGCTGCACTGCCTTCCAACACAGGCTGCTCATTCTGGCTTGTAACAACAAATACCCCAAACCCAAGCTCTGAACAGAAGTCAAGCAGACTCTGTGCAGGGACAGCATAAGGAACGGGGGAGCGTGGGAATGAGATGCCCATTGGGATCGTTTGAACGGCACACGGGAAATGCCACCTTAGGAAACCAAGGGAAAAAGCATACAATTCATATGTCTGCGGCGAGTATCATACATTTCATTTGGAAGATGTCTTTAATTCAGAAGTAGTTTCTTTGTTAGTTAAGCTGAAGATATGCCTCCTTCCAGAATTTTGCAGTCTGGGGGATATCGTCTGTATCATAGTGTCTTTTCTTGATTTGGACTTTATTATTCATCTCAAAGTGTCTTTTGATCCGACTGCAACAGAGAAAGAACAACAGAACCCTATTTCTTCAAATTTTACTCCCATTTCTCCTGGAGCATGCAGAGCCAAGTCAGGATGATGACAAAGCTGATTACAAATATATGTGTAATTGATACCAAGTGGATGCAAACTTTCTGACCATTTAAGATATACAAAGGAGGAAAACACTTTCCCGTTTTCCCCAAAGAACAAGGAAAACCATCTTACTAAAAACGCATTCTCCTCTTCCTCCTCGCATTCCCTGATTTCAGCTTTTGATACCAGAACCCACAACATAAAAATACCTCCTAAAAATCAAGAGCCTGATATACTGCGGAACTGCAACCAAAAGAAGTAGCAGTAAGGCTAATATCCAACCTCACTAGCACCGAAAAGAACATCCAGGTCTTCTATCAGCTTTCAGTCTGACACTAATCCCAGTATTTTCCATCTGGTGCAGCTTCTGGGACTCTGGAAACTGTGGTTTTGCTCCCACTTCCAGGCTGTTCTCCATTCCTTCTGCTAGCTCTCCTTCCAGTGCAACGTCTGGACAAAAATCATTGGCAAATAAACCGAAGATAAACAGGGTTTGTAGACTCTTCAAATTCTGTTTTAAGAGCCTGATGATGAAGACGCAATGGTTTTTAAGTTGCCTGCCAAATCTCGAGTCTCTACAACTCTCTGGGGCCTGGAGTATAACCTGACCTCCCCCACCGAGGCTGTTTTGAGGTGGGAATATCTGCTACCCACTGCCCGTCCCCTTCTCCTCTGGCAGGGCTGTCGGCTCCTTTAGCACCAGCTCCCTTTCCGCCTTGCCTTTGGTGATTCAGCGAAGGCACCTGAAGCCAGGCCCATGGCAGAGCGGTGGCAGGGCTCATTGTGCACTAAAAAGCGAGACGCTAGCTGAGGCACACATGCATACGTGGTGGAGAAAGCTTTTCAGTCTACTCGGTAAACATGCTATGAACCAGCATAGCTCCATGTGGGTGAGGCAGACATAAGCCCACGCGGGGCAGGCTGGATCCTCAGAGCCTTGGTGAACCATGTTTCCAGGATGTCCCCGAGTCTCCTGCAGACTGTGTGAACACCGATTTCTGCAGAAAACTCTATGGTTAGAGAGCAGAAAGTGCCTATGGAGAAGCAAACTGTATGAGCATGGGCTTAGCC